CCAAGACGGAGGGAAGAGCAATCAAGATCACTCTACCACTGACGGGCCCTCGGAGATGACAGAGAAGGATGAAAGGAGCAATAAGAAGGATGCGAGACCGGAGCAGTCTGATGCCGCACCTCAGCCAGATGCGGAAGATGCGGATGGGGATGAAGAAGAAGAAATGGAACAGGACGGGAATCATGGCGAGGATGGTGCGCCCTTGGACGACTATGTGCAAGAGGCCAATACACTCGACCTGCCTGAGGACATGAATCTCGACACTTTGGGGGACACACAGGAGCCGATACCAGACGAGGATATTGATATGGAAGACGCAGAGGAGCCAATAGGGGAGCCGACCCTCGATAGAGAGCGGGATGACACGACCAGCGATGCGGAGGATGTCGATGCGGATGAAAGTGCTGCCCTCAATGACGGCGCAGGGATGCAACAGGACGAGCCTCTCGATGAGACACAGGATACCAACCACACCGTCGCACAGCCAGAACTTCACGCGGGTCAGGGTGATGAAAGCGGAGCATCTCAGGGCGCTACCGCGTCTGCAAGCGGACAGGGTAGTATGGAAATCGATGTGGCTGATCAGACAGGTGAAGGAGGCCATGATGACGCTCCCCAACCAGGCGAACAAGGTGTGGATCAAGCCCCCTTGGACAAGTCGTAAGCACCTTTCTCTCCAGTTAATTGGATGCATCTAATGTTGCCCCAGTCCGTCGTCGCAGGACATCCAGAATCAAACCCAGGGTGAAGGCAGTGGCGAGCAATCAAGCGGCACAACGCAAAGTGAACGGAGAGATGCATCAGCGCGGCCTCGTACACAGGAATCCAGGGCCAACCCACTTCGTAGTCTTGGCGATACTCTGCGGGAAATCAGCCAGAACTTGCAAGACATTATGGACAATGAAGGGCCTCGCGATCAGCTCGCTCAAGCCCAGTCTGACGCGCCTTCCCAGATGGAATACCTGCATCCAGAAGAATCGGATGAGTTGCAGGCGCTTGGGCCAGCCATGAACGAGAAATCTGTCAAGCTAGAGGAGCTGAAGTTCGTCGACGAGACCGCTCAGTCAGAAGAGCCGATGCCCATGGACGAAGAAGACCATGAATCTTCCGATCCGCAGCCGTTACGCAGAAATCCAGAGTCCACACTGCAAGGCGAACGCACTTCCCAAAGGTTGAATGACGACACAGAGAGCGCTTTGACAGCAAGCGAAGTTCGGTCTCAAATCCCCGGAACACTCGGCAGTCAGCCGACTCCAGTAATCCCCATGCCGAACTCGTCGGAGACCTTGGAAGAGCTCTCGAGTGAGGTAGAGATCCGGTTGCGCGATTGGCAAGCAAGCGGGCATCCTGTGGAAGGCGCTGGGGACATCTGGCGTCTCTATGAATCCTTGACCCATGACCTGTCGTACGCGTTATGCGAACAACTCCGACTCATTTTGGAACCCACGCTGGCGACGAGGCTCAAGGGTGACTATCGCACCGGAAAAAGGCTGAACATGAAGAAAATCATCCCGTACATCGCGAGCGAATTCACGAAGGACAAGATTTGGTTACGTCGCACTAGGCCAAGTCAGCGGGAATACCAAGTTCTTATCGCTCTCGATGACTCCAGATCTATGGCAGAGTCTCATTCCGTTCACCTGGCATACGAAACACTCGCCCTTGTATCAAAGGCTCTGAGCCGGCTGGAAGTGGGCGACGTCGCCATAGCCAAGTTCGGCGAGTCAGTCGATGTTCTTCATGGCTTCGACAGCGGACCTTTCACAGACCAGGCAGGCATGCGAATCGTGAGCGCATTCCAGTTCGACCAGAAGGCTACGCAGGTGCTTTCGCTCGTGGAGACGAGCCTTCGGTTGCTAGAGCAGGCTAGAGAAAGACGATCTATGAGCTCTGCCACTGCCGCAGATCTGTGGCAACTTGAGATCATCATCTCAGACGGCATGTGCCAAGATCACGAGAAGCTCCGTACTGTCCTGAGGAAGGCGGAAGAAGAACGGGTCATGGTCGTGTTCATCATCTTGGACTCTCTGCATGCGCGGAGTTCCTCTGACAGCGGCAATGCCAACCAGAATTCCATTCTCTCGATGAATCAAGTCGCATACAAGAACATAGATGGCCGCCTGGATCTCCACGTCGAACGGTATCTGGATAGCTTTCCTTTCGAGTACTATGTCGTCTTGCGAGATGTTGAGGCGCTACCTGAGGTGTTGTCGGGTACATTGAAACAGTTCTTCGAGAGAGTCACGGAGCAGTAATTATTTGAGATCGTAGACAGCCATATACATGTTATATTATCGCGATTGAGGTTCTACTATCCTCATATTCCCTATCATTACCGCTAGCGCGGGGGGTTTCGCTTCATTTCAACCGCCATATCTCGCTTCACGTAAGGTCCACCAATCACCCGTCAATACACCGAGAAATGATTCAACAGTAGGAAACTACGACTTCCGCACCGGTTGCTCGTACCTTTGTGCGTTTGTACCTTCCAGACTTCCACGACCTTGCTACTAAAATCGCTTCCTCGTTGCCCGTTGCCCGTTCACTACAACATGTCTACCACAGACGCTACTGCCATATGACTCCAACGTAACATTACCACGGCTTATCAGCTGAACGACAGCTCCAGATGACAATTCTTATAGAAAGCATTTGCATAGTGAGACGGAACCGGGTACAGCGCGAAAACAAGAAAGCTAAATCGAACCATAATAAATGTTTCGAATGTGTCCATTCATAGCAGTGCATATACCGGGGCAAATCACCTTCACCTAGCTTGAGGCACTCGAATCCTCTGTCTCGTATTCGTCCTCGGTCACCTCGTTCCCATCGATGGATGACAAGGTTTCTTCCGGCAGGCCGCGAAGACGATTGGCCTTGGTAATCCTGAGTTTGAGTCTCTTCTCAGGAGGCTCTTCCTGCTCCTCGTCGCTGCTGCTGCTGCTGCTGCTGCTAACAAGTTCTCTTGATCGCCGTTTTGATCCCGCGCTTGACTGGTAAAGACTGGAGGGACGACTATGCTCGGTGTGGATGTCCTTGAAGAATGCGAATTTATCTTCCTCTTTGGCAGGAAATTCAGAAGCAGGGGCCGAACATGCAATTA